TCTTGTTGTACATAACAAACCTAGATCAGGCTACTTGCATAATATGCACAAACGCTCATGATATGCTTCAGATTTCCACTTGGGGCGAAATTCAAAACAATGTCATGATAACAGTCAGGAGCTGAGATGACACCAAACTCTCACATGCACAATGATGCGTTCACAGCCATACTTGACGGTTAATAAATTACAATTATGATTGATTATAGCTTTGCTAATCCCTGTCTCCACGAGAAATCTCGAGACTGATGTGGGATGTAAAAAAACCGGCTGCTCACCTCATGTAGTAATCTGTTGACGCAGAAGCCCGCTCAGCCTGCGTTCCCATGCCAAATCCATTGTTTTCGCACACATACAAGACAGGAAGGCTCCACAACATTGCCATGTTGGTCGATTCGTAGAACTGGCCTTGATTAGCAGCTCCATCACCATATAGGGTTAGACAGACGTTCTTTTGCTTCCTGAAATACGGCAATGACTAAATGCTCCAAAAGAATGAAGATCTCAGCCAAAGAAGCTACCTGTACTTTATAGCGAACGCGATTCCTGTTCCAATAGGCTGCTGAGCTCCTACGATGCCGTTTCCACCGAAGAAATCCTTCTGATACATGTGCATTGAACCTCCTTTACCGTGAACGTTACCATTGATTTTGCCTCAAAATATAGTACACAGTAAACGAATGCTCCGTTAAACACTGCAGATCATTGACAGATGTCAATCGAGTATCAGAAAAAGCAATGAATACTCCCACTGAGAATCTAGCAAAGAAATGTAATACCGCCCTGTATATCTTCTTCAGCTGCGATCAAAACTGCTACCTCTTATTTTCTTGTAAAGTTTCAGCGGTATTCGTTCGAGTAAATAGACAACCCGAATTTAAGGTCTCAATCGCTGAGATTTGGCATGATTATACTATTGTCATATAGGCTAGTAGATTTCGCTGTAGATAGAGAACACTGCACTCTTGCATTAACGACAACTACGCGTTTATTGCTCTAGGAACATTTTCTATGCTTGCACTGCCGACAACTCCGAGTTTAACAGTTGCTCTAGGACATTTTCTACGCACAAGCAAGTTCCCAGCATACAGGCAGGGCATTTGATTCCAGGCAAATGTCGTTAGCAATGCATGAACACCATGTCTGCCGCCAATACTAGCTTACAACTTCTGATATTAGACAATACCAAAGCCCTCGCACAGACATGTATACTATTTCGCTAATGATTAGTTGCAAATCGTTTCAGCAAGCCTGAGCGCCAAAGCCACCACCATAAAAATTTGAACATAGTGCATAAGAAATAGTCTTCCTAGGACATCTAACCCTCCGCCTATCCCCAAAGTCGCTACATATTGTTTATGTACATGAAACTACGTACGGGAAAACGATATGTGGGGCGAGAATGCATTGTGGCGAAAAATGTTGCAGCACTCACCAGTAAGTTCGGACAGGACTTCTGCCACTGTGGCGCCCTGCAGGTACGTCCAACCATGGCAACGATAGGCAGTTATGACCGCATCCCCTTCAGTAAGTGCAGCACGGGCACCAACTGCACAAGCTTCCTGAAAGCCAACGATTTTTAGAACGCTGTCTGCCTGACTTACAGGAGTTATTTATAAAAACTTTGAACTCAATAAAAAGCAAAAGCGTGATCTACGTCTCGCCCGCTACAATAACCTAAAGTCCCCCGTCCAGACCCCTTTGATAGAAGACAACTTCGCTAAAGTGGAGCGAGCTAACACTGCCAGAGAATTCACCTGGCCAGAATAAAGATGACAAAAACCGCGAATCTTCTTTTCCTTGTATAAATTACTTGCAGCAGCCTCCATACGACGAATGGTCTGAAAACATTTGATATAGATCATCGAAAGTATGTACACACCATCTGATCGTTGTGTTTTCTACTGCTCAAACGTCCTTCGCCGACACTGGGCCCATTCTGTACAGCTAACTCCAACATTAACACTTTCCAAGCGAATCACCGACCCCTCTTCACTACTCTAGAACCACGGTAACGAATAGCACCAATGCGCAATATCTGACGTTTCAAAAAAGTGAAATTGCTAACAATCCTTTCACTACTTCTGAAGAAGTATAAAGCTTTCAAATGGGATAACCTCTCAAAAAACGCTGAGAAAGCGTTACGGTAACCTGGAATCTTTCTTATATATAAAACTAAATGTCTAAACGTCTGTATGTATGTCTGCGCGTATGCTCCAAAAGAAGATTACATTTTTGAACAGACTCAATATTTGTATATGCATACAATGAAGGGGAAACTTCGCAGGTTGGTTTTCGTTATCAACTGCTATCGACTTATCAATTTTTAGACTTTTAGCCACGAAGCTGGAAGTTGGAATAGGGGGAATAAGTGAACATGCAGAAACGAACGACATAATAGTAGCTTTAGTGATTTCAGATTTCACGACTTTCAGTACTTACAGGGGGATGGGAGTGAGCTTGCTGATTACGACTGAATAGTCATTATTATGAATTTACCAAATTTTTGCAAGGTTTGTTCTACTGGACTCGGAACTGGTGTAGAGGGAGGGGGG